GAGCTGTGCCTCTAAGCCTGTAGTCAGTGAGTCGTATACTCCATAATGCTGAACATAAGCAGATATAATGGAGCTCACACTTGAACTCAGTTATATCTGCCCATGAAGCCCATTATGACATATTGACTTCTTGTACATACAATCTACATCGGCCTATTAGTGTCAAGCAAAGTGTGAACGCGTTCCGAAAATGCAGCGATTTGCTAGTATGCTACTATTAATGAAAGCGTTTTCTACGACAAATGACTGGATTCTTTCGAACAGCAAATCAAACCGAATTCCTTCCGTTACACGGTCAATTACTCTATAAACGACGCAGGTCAAGATCAGGTGGATGACTTCAACATTTATTTTAAAGTTCCCTCTATTCCAATAAACCACGCCTCCAATCAATTTTGTCGTTTAGCAATGCTGTTTTTCATAGGAAACATCAAGGCTGGGCGCAGCCGTCACATTTTCGGTGTCAAAGGGTTACCATTGAGGGGAAGGAGTGTATGATAATTCGAGAGAACGTTATGACAAGCAAAAACCAAGTGCAAAGAGGAAACTTGACCTACGGACCTCAGAGTTTTTTTTTCTTTTTTCTTCACTTCTTTGGAACTATAATAGTTAGTATCTACTTCTCTCGCAGCTTCTCATTACCAGCTTCGTCGTAGAAAGTGCCTTAAATCCTGATTTCTCCACGGACCACGCTTTCTTGCGCTTGCTTTTTTTATTATATTTTATACAATTTTTTACAAATACTTCAAGTATTGTTTGTTTAGCAACGTGCATTTTGAGTTGCTTGAAGCCAATTTTTTGCTCATCAGCTCACTATGTCAAGATCACATGCCATTTCGCTTTTTGCACCATCGCTAACACTTTTCAGGCCGAACAAAGAAGCCGAAAGATGCATCCCTCCAAAAGACGAAATCGCCACTTGCCAACAATCACTTGAACAAAGGGGCTCGTTACATCAACGTCCCAAGTGTTGAACCTCTAGCCAGCGAATCGTCAACGCAACGGGAAAACCTGGCTCCTTCGGTCGTGGCTGTAGTGCCCAACGTACCCGCCAAGGAAGAGGATCCCCTCAGACTATCCGAAACTGCGTTATCTCTGAGCTCCACAAAACATTTTAAGAGTAAAGTGCGCCCTTCCAGTTCCGAAACTGACGAGTTGGCAAAATCGCCGGAGCTTGAACTTCTGAACACCGTTGCTCCTTCGCCGATACCACCTAACATGCACAGCGAATCCATCGATGGTGATTTTCCAACGCCGGAAGAGCTTCCAGTCACGACAGTGCTCCCTAAAAGCAAGCATCTCCCCGTGAGAACGTCTCCCCCAACCTTTCCCTTGCCCAGGAAACTTCCAACCAAAAAATACTCCGGAGATTTTCCAGATTCGTTGTTGGGCTCCTCTAAATGGAACTTATCGAGTCTTGACACAGCTCATGAAATCCCGAACGGCGACTCTACTGCAACCTTCCCTCGACCGAAGAAACTTCCTCAGAAAATCCATGCATTAGTGTTCCCTAGACCTAAGGACATCAAGAAGAACAAGGCGAAAAAAGGCTTCCCCAGACCTGAGCATCTTCCTAGGAAAAACAATTTGTCCGCTTTCCCCAGACCGAAGAAGACATCTGCTAAAAAGATCTTCACGGAGGTCCCAACACCAAAGAAGCTACCTATTCAGAAAATCTCTAATTTCCCTAGACCTGACAACGTCGAAGAGAACGTAACTACTGACTCTGCTGAGTTACCCACAGAGACAATTCCTGCTCCTTCAGACTTCCCTGATTCTAGAGATGGCCCCGTTATCGAGCCGTCTATTGATCTAACTAGAAGCAGCTCAATACCCCAAAAGAAGACAGAACCATCAAGAAGTGATATCCCTGAAAAGGATCCCGACGTTGTTGAAAAGGATCCTGACGTTGGAGAAAAGGAATTGGAGGAGTTGTCTTTTAGTGAACTCCCCAAACCAGATCATCCTAGTTTGAAGCCCTCAGTTTTCAAGCGTCCGGGTTCGAGTAAAATAGTCGCACACCCTGATTTTGTTCATTCGATACTTTCATCAGGAGGTGGAGGTGTAGCCATACTTCTTCCGTCGAATTCTTCAAGTAATGAGAACGACTCTCCTTCGCAAATCAGACCAATCGTCATAAATGTGCCTAATCCCCATCAAACTCCTCTGAATGTGACGATAACTCGGCAAACAGTACACAGGTACAAAAAAACTCATCGAAAAAATGATAAACCAGACGAACTGGAGAGTCAGACAACGTCTTTCAACAAGAAACAGACAAAATCAGCTTGGAAGGTTAGGATGGTTCCCAAGTCGTCGCTGAAACCCAGAACTGAGTCACTTCCTGAACCTCTGCCTGTGGAGGAACCTTCACTCGAAACCTCAACTGAGCAATCATCCATTGAGTCTGTACTCGAGCCGATAGCTTCAGAGTCGATCAGTGAACCTCCTGTCGAGATATCGCAACCCGCCGATGAGGTTTTTGTACCAGTGGAGACGACTACCGCTTGGGAGTACGTGACGGCACCAGGGGAACCAACAGCTTCCCCAGAATTATTGAAAGCTTATGCTGCACTTGACAGTCTTCTGATCAGTAAAGACAGACTGTCTTCGGACGAAGGAATCAAAACTGTAGTTACGGAGCGGTCACCGCAGGATGGAGTGTCGCTGGAGGATGGACCGGGTGTTGAGGGAACGGATATCGCTCCAAATCCTGCTTCGGAAGTTGTCGAACCGCAATTGGGTGAGATTTTCCATATTTTTCGTGGCATTCACAAGTTGACTAATCTGTTTTGTCGCTTTTTACACTAATCTTTCAATAAGATGACGATGGGCTGAGCGCGTTCTAAAACAGCGAATCGATTTTACGCTCATAAGACCGATATCTGCGTTTTCCCCTCAACTAAATGGGCAGAAGGAGTGGAGGCAGCTCAGGAATAACAGCTCTCTAACGAATCATGTTCATTGGGTGCATAAACAGGTAACTAAACAAATGTCTGGGAAGCCAGTTTATCGAAAATATTGTGTTACAATCAATCGATTTACAATCAATCGATTCACCACATATCGATGAGTTTAGCCCAACGCACCGCACCCGCGCGCTCCCCGAGCTGGTAAATCCTTCTATTTCTAGGGTCATGTACTTGGTCACCGGTCGTGCAACGATAATAAATAAATAAAAAATACTCCCAACTAGTCAGTATATGTGGTGATGCTTATGAAGCGATTTTACTTTGATGCATGAAATACAAGTCAATTTTATGATGCTATGTGCATAGCTTTTCTAACAGTGACTAATTATTTACATTGCTTTTACTTGTTTGCTTTTCTTAAC